CTATCTATCTATCTATCTATCTATCTATCTATCTATCTATCTATCTACCGTGTTTCTCATATAATAAGGCTGGGTCTTATTTTTTTTTTGAGCCCCTAAAAAATGGCTAGGCCGTCTTTTCGGGGGTGACTTAATTCCCCCTCCCTTGCATCTTTGGGCGGGCGACGACAGCTTGGATGTTGACCTCGGCGTTGGTGGGGCACTTTGTATCGGGGTCAACGCAGGCAGCACCATATCCGGGTGTGCAACAAAAGTACTTCCTAACGGCAAGCCCCACCACCATCCCCCCCCCATTTCGCATGTTTTAATATAGGCCTTAATTTGGGGGGAGGGGCTTAATTTCATTTCATGCCTATAAAACATGCTGGGACTTCCAATTGGGGGAGGCCGTATTGTTGGAGAAACAGGGTATCTATCTATCTGGACACGCCAGATCATTTTATCATTTAACTTCATTTAAAAAATCGAATGTCTTTCATTTGAAAGAAAACACATTTGTTGGCAATAATGCTATACAATGGTACTTACATTGGTCAAAACTGGGGCTAGGAAAACTCCTAGAAACACCACACTCAGAATCTGGAATCGAGTTCAAAAACAGATTGGCAATTAGAGAGGGAGAGAAAATGATAATTAGCTGATAGAGAATAGAGATAGATAGATGATAGATAGATAGATAAATAGATAGATATATATTATTTAAAAATGGAAGCAGCAAAGTTCAAATTTTAAAAACAATCATGTTGCCTAGTTTAACTTGCACCCTGATTTAACGGTCACATAAGCTTGCTGTGCAAAATCCCTCTACAAATACAAAGTTTGGAGTTCAGGAACATGCATAGATCTGCCCGCTTTATTATCTAAGCAACCTTGGTGATTCTGATAGCATTTTCAAATACCAAAAGAACAATGGCTAATGTTTTCCCTGCAATCAAATTCAGCAGCTCACAATCTTAGGGGTCCCTTCTTGGCTCTTCCAAGAAAACTCGTGTGTCATTTTCAGGAGAAGCATTCTGGGCCACCTGAGTTTTAGCCTAAGAACATCATGCGCAAAGGTGGGCAAGGGACAATAATGAGACAAGCTCTGTGAGCTGATTATGGCCTTGAATCCATGATTTTCAACTCGTCTTGATTCCCACTTGGAACCATCCCTCCTTCTGTAAAAAAGGTTAACCGTCTCTCTTCATGAATTAAGAGTCCTCTGGAAAAATCAGGTTTCTCCCCTTGTTCTTTTATCTGCAAGCTGGATGCAGTTTTGACTACAGATGATGTGAGATGGACTTTGCTATTCCCCTAGAAGAATTCAAGATCAAGCAACATCATACAGAATAACAGGTTATTGGAGGTCTTCTAGACCAACCCACTGCTTGTCCAGTCTCTTCTTGAAAATCTCCACTGATCGAGCATCCACAACTTCTGACGGCAAGCTCTTCCCTTGACTAATTGTTCTTGTAGGAGATTTCTCCTTCCTTCTACCTTGGATCTCTCTTTGATAAGCTTCCACCTGGTCCCTCTTATCCTATCCTCAGGAGCTAATAAGTTGACCCCTTCCTCTCTGTGACAGCCCCTCAACTATTGGAAGACTCCCATTACCCCAGCAAACAGTAAGGCAGCAGAAAATGAAAAATGTCTATACTTACAACCAACTTCATTTTGGAACTAGAAGAAATACAAGACTAGCAAAGCTGAACCTTTCCACTTTATATACCGGATTTCCCAGGACGGAGATATGGCTCGTTATCTCATTGCAATTTGGGTGCCACTTGGCTGACCCAGGGAAGAGGGTGGCTCCTTACAGATAAGCAGAGGGAGATATGCCTATCTTCAATACACATGGGCAGGGCCTGTCATTTAAAAAAGTTCAATTAATGAAACCTACATCTAATCCCAGAAAATAAACACATTTTTTTAAAAAATAGGAGTGGACATAAAAATGGATTTATTCCCCAATGGTGTTTGAAAATAGGACCAGCACCAATAGGTAGAAGAAAGAAACAGAAGCAAAAGATCTGTATTTTATTTATTTTTTACCTACTGGTCAAATTTAAAATAAGAGGATACTTTTCTACTATTATTTTTATATGGGTTATTAAGTATTGACTTCAATCTAGAATAAAAGGTTATTTTTGATATCTGTAACTGTACTGAAGAAAAATCAAGTCTCTCTTGTTATATATTTGTTTTATGCATTTTTGTTACCTTTTAAACTTTCCCCTTTTTTTCACTCCCCCCATTTATGTTATTTTATATTTTATCGGTGTGTGTGTGTGTGTGTGTGTGTGTGTTTGAAACTCAATAAATTATTTGAGACCAAAGAAGAGATCAAACTTACAATAAGAAGGAATTTGGTTCCTTGCTGGTTAGGGAATTCTGGCAATCCACACATCTTAAGAAACACGGTGAGATTATACGGTGGGATATTTGCCATAACCTGACGGAGGCTCCATCAGTGCAGGTTTTCAAGGAAAATTTAGGTAGCCATTTGACTGGGGTGGCTAGGGGATTCCTATCCAGAACAGGGGTCAGATTAGATGATCTCCAAGAGATCTTACAGATTCTATGATTCTAAAATCAACCATTCTACCTTACTTATACATCCATTCGAAATGTAGCTGAAGTCCTTTTCTTTTAAAGGGGAAAAAACAATCCTAAAGAAGACGTGTTTTGTATGAAGAGGTAACTCAGAGAGGCATTCTGAATGGCCCTTTAAAACTAGAATTGGTAACCTATAACCAATTCGTAGGTGCTTGACTCACTGTCTTTGCTGGTGGTTTGGAAGGAAATTCCAGAATTCTAGAAGGAAATTCCAGATTGTATTTCCTTGAGTCAGGGACATGAGTGCAAAAGTGGATGAGGGCACATAAGAAGTCTGTAGCCTATTAAATGTTACAGATTCCGCTTTTAACTATTTAACCTTTTTTGTTTTAAAATCGGAGAGAGACCTGTAGCAATCCCGTTTTTTCACATCTGAGTTTCAGATAAATGAAGCCTTAGAACTGATACTGAAGGGTTGGAGAGCTTCTGCCTTCTAGGATCAACTATCAACGGTAAAGCAACAAGCAGACAAGAAATACCTTACAGACAAGGGCTTGGAAAACCACGAAGGTCTTGGAAAAGATAGTCAGATGCCAGGATGGTGTTGGCAAAGGTTCCTGAGAAGACCATGAACATCCAAGAAAACAAACCGATGGATCATTGAACAAATCAATCCAGAGTTCTCGCTCAAGACACGGATGCCCAGGCTTACATTATCCTACGTTGGACACATTATGTGAAGATCCAGCTCTGTAGAGAAGTCTCTAATGCTGGAAAAAGTGGAAGGAAGATAAAAGAAGAGGAAGGACAGCAGCAAGAGGGATGGACTGAGCTACTATGATGCTGGGGCACCATTGGAAGAGCTGAAGGACCAGCTTGGGGAATTCCTGGAGAAACTCTATCTACATGGCCAACAATGACTTGAAGGGCATAATCAATCATATGAGCAGAACTATCCCAAGCTCATTACATACCTTCCCATAATTTTTAACCACGTGTCATATAAAAGCCTAATGGTGCAATACTAACTTGGGTTAGTATTAACTCTGGTTAGATTTTGAGACGTTTTAGCCCAACCCAGGCAAATACCCAGGGCATGCTTTATGTAAAAGATTGGAAGGTGGGGGGGGGAATACTGTTCCTAGTAAAGTATGTTGTGTGAGAGGAGCCACAGATACTCGTAGATTTCATATGCAGAGTAGAAGGGTCAATGAGGTTGAGAGAGGCCATGGGAATGCGATGGTGGGCCTGTTAGCAATGAGTAGCAGAACCTGAGGGCTCTTTGGGGGCCTCACCTGATTCCTGGCAGCTTGTCTAGAGCAGAGGTCTCCAAACTTGGCAACTTTAAGCTTGGCGGACTTCAACTCCCAGAATTCCCCAGCCAGCAAAGCTTGCTCTCTTGTAATGCCTTCCTCTGCAATCTCTCCACTTTAGCTGGTAAGAGAGAAAGAAAGAGACACGGCTGGCTGGGGAATCCTGGGAGTTGAAGTCCCCCAGGCTTACAGTGGCCAAGGTTGGAGACCCCTGCTCTAGAGCATTGACCCATCCTTGGCCCTCTTTAGGGACACCCCAAAAGTCCTTACTTTCCTCTCTTTTCTTACTTACCGTTGACCCCATTTTTAAACCAGAAAGACAGGCCGTCCACTTTTCTGATATTAAAAATACACCCATGTAATATGGGAGAAGGTAACTGATGTTTGCAAAATGACGAACTCATGTGAACTCATGCACCCATGACTAACGTACTCAGAGATATCAGGGCTTGGGTATCTGCTCAGCCCAAAATTCAAATAAAGCTATTTACCAGGGTGTGTGTCCCCCAGATACGAGAGGCAAATACCCAGGGCAGATTTCTGTCCAGTTATGCTCCCCACACACCTACAATCCGGATATAAATGTTCAATGTTCCTGGACTATTATTCCACTTGCATCTTTTCCCTTACCTGGAAGAAAAATGAACAGACTTGTGAGTATATCTGACACATTCTTCTTAAGAAAAGCTAGAAAATATTTAGGGACCAATGTGGATTGTCTAGGTAAGGAGGACTCCTCTTAAGGAAATGAAAGTGATGTTCGCCGTGTGTTGGTTGGTTAGCTTGGGGAGAGCAGTGGCAAAATATCTCCTGCAAGGCATTAGCACATTAGCACATGACCAGCTGTACTCAGCAAGAGAAGTTGCATTTTGATGGGCAACATTTAGATAATGTTCAAATGGCCTTTGGAAGTTTCAACATGAGTAATGGCCCCAAATATTTTTGACTTCTGAAACACCCTAATGGCTACAAACTGGTCTTGTCAACAAGCTAGAACATAGACTGTAGAATAAGGTTGGAAGGGACCTTGAAGGTCCTCTACTCCTACCCCCTGCTAATCTGATGACTCTTTTGCTGAAGTCCCATTCTTATGCTTTGCATCAACACTTGTGTAGGAAAGTATTTGGCCATAATATGCTGTTTTGAGGGAACCGATTGTGCAATGGGGCATATTTTGATTCAGAGCTCAGGATGGCTCTCATCTGCTTATTGGCAGAAGGTTCCACATTCAGTCCTTGCCATCGCCAGCCAGGTCATGTGTAGAAAGCCACAGAGCCAGTAGACATCAGCACTATGGACCAAAGGAAGGAGAAGTGTGTGCCCCATATGCGCTGGTAGCAAACGCTGGGAAATTATGGTCTCCCAAAGTAACTGGGTTCTGCGAAAGATTGCAAACCAGGCTAGCTTGAAGTTAAATTCTTCAGGCATTCCTGCATGGACATGGACTATCATTCATTCAGATAGGGCTGTTCTCCTTCTGACCTTTGATGTCCCTTTTATTTATTTCTTCTCCAGGGACCAATATTAATTTTGCTGGGATTCTTCTGGAATGCAGCCTCTGCTTCCATCCAGGTAATCATCTCTGCTTTATTACGAACAAAACATTCAAAGGTGGAACAAGGTTATTTTCTCTCTCTCTCCTGTAATATCATGCAGATATTCAGCACATGTCCCAAACTCTGATGCTTTAAAACAGGGAGGGGTATGCAACTTAGCTCTGTTTCTTTAGAGCAGTACACCTAGACCAAGATCTGAAAATTGATGGCGAATCACTAGTAGAATTTTGAGAAGGATGCCAGGCTCAAAATACATGCATTTAGCTGGCAGATTTAATGTGCTGATTTGTGAAGGGGTCTTTAAAAAAAAATGGCCTGAACATTTCTCTTCACACATGCCTGCAGTCCTTGAAGACATCCAGTCCCAAAGACTGGAAGTAAACGTGAACTAATAATAAATTTACTTTTTTGAGTGATGCATTGTACAATATTTTTAATGAATATTACCATTCCTTCTGGATTCTATGTCTCTCACAGCTGTTTTCATGCAAAGCAGCATAGGAATACCAGTAATAAATAAATCAAATACATGAATGAATGATTAATCACTCTTTCCGTTCTAGAGAATGCATTCTGCTTAGCAGCGGAAAATCTGTAAAGGTTTCCAAAAAAGTCCTGAAACTTGGAGAGTAAAGAAAATTTATTGCCCATCACAGAAACTAAATAGCTGTGTACCTTACCCATTAATAGCTTGGTTTTATTTAGTATATGCTTGGTTGTTTGGTTTACGGTTTGATATTTTGATCAATGGCCATCGGCCAATCCCACTTTATCTAAATCCAGAACCAGAAGTCTCTCGGATTCTTCATTTCACTTCAGATGAAAAATAAACTCTCTCTTGTTCAGGTTTACAGCATCCCTAGCTTGAATGGTGATTACATCCAGCAAACAGTCACCATAGACAACGAGAAGAAAGTAGCCATCATTCACATCCACGAGGGAGCTTGCTCTTCTGAAACAATTTTTGACTATAAGCATGTAAGTGTGAATCCTTTGCACACTCACCTTGGCAGTGCAAGAATACGGCCATACTGAGCTGGGGTTGTTCTTCTATGTAGTGTTCTGACCTAGACCTTCCCAAGATCATGAAGCCGACTCCTCGTCCCGATAAAACCCCTTTTATTTAGGTCAAAGGGAATTCCTCTCCAGCAAAGGTCCTGACAAACAATCTCTCATGAGATTTCCCAATTACAGACCTTTATCAGGCTTGGAGAGTTGCCAGGCTGATATCTTCCAAACGCCACTCTGTAGCAATGACTTGGCAAGGAGTCAGGAACAGATCTTCACCCTAATGAATTGATCTAATTGTCTCCTGCAAACCCCCGCTCTCCTTTCGCTCCTCTTTATTCCCTATGGGAGGGGCCATTCACTATCCACCTGTGGCTTTACTCCCGAGTCGACCCTTGTTCCTTAGATGTTCCCTTCTCCTGGCAGCTCTGTGCATGTGCACACTGGGAACAGGCTCCAGCTGTTCTTCTTCCCCACTGATGTCCGACTCCGAAGGCAGCTGATAACAGTCTGATGGCCCTGGCCCCATCTCTGCCTCCAACGCACAGCCCTCGTCCGAGCCTTCCCCAGACTCTAGGACTGGTCCATGTTCCTCCCCAACCTCCTCACTGTCTGAGTTTGCCACTAGCTCTGCTGGCCGCTGGCAGGCCATAACATGTAGTTCCACTTTTAACAAAAGACATCCATTCATTTTCACTCATCATTCTGCCTCAAGCTCAGGCCCTTGAGAAGGAATTGGGACTGCAAGTCCCAAAATTCCTGTTTGGAACAAGCAATGGGCCTGGAGGGTGAGAATTCTGGGACATGCAGGCTCAGCCCATGTGGAGGGACCCAAGCTGTAAAACTGATAGGCAGAATTTCAGTTGAACATCCCTCCATGTTAATTTTTGCCCATTTTAAATTTTAATTTCCAACTATTATTAATGGAATTTATCTGTTATTCCTTTCCCTCTGGCATAACAGGGATACATTGCTATGCGGATTTTTTCCCGATTTGCTTGCTTTGTGATGAAGATGGAAAAACACTACTTTCTAGAAATTGAAGAAATTGGGCGGTTGGCTTATGAGTTACAGGTAAATGTTGAGTTCCTTACTGGGAGAGATTGTGGTAAGCTGGGAAAGGGAAGGAAGGGAGAATGGACAATCGAGACAGAGAAAGGGAGTTAGTTGGCAGCCCAACTCAGCCCAATTTTCTCTGATCTGGTTATCTGACCAGTGTAATCCCTACAGTTTTGTTCCAGTGATGGGGACTATGATAATGGGAGAAGCCCAAATGCTACTGTTAAGTTGGAGAGCATTAGCCATGCAGTCCCCAGGGGCCTGCATTTCCTGTCTATCTGTTCCACCATGGGCATGTTCTTGGCTCTCTCGTTTTTTGGGCACATACAAAGACCTTCAGAACAGCCCAGATTCTATTTTATTTTATTTTATTTTATTTTATTTTATTTTATTTTATTTTATTTATTTTATTTTATTTTATTTTATTTTATTATTTTATTTTATTTTATTATTTTATTTTATTTTATTTTATTTTATTTTATTTTATTTTATTTTATTTTATTTTATTTTATTTTATTTTATTTTATTTATTTATTTGATTTGTCAATTGTTTACAAGATAATAAGTATAAGTGTATACATAGTTATAAGTATAACTATATAAGTATAAGTGTATACAAGATAATAAGTGTATACATAGTTATTCTCCAGTTGTGTGTTGTGTGGTTTTTGCAGCGAGAGATTGTGGGAGGTTGGAAAAGGAATGCAAGGAAGAGTAAGCTCCGTTGGCTGTGTTGTAACATCCTGAGCTTTTGTGGTGTAACCTCCTGAGTTCCGTGATGTGATATCCTAAGCGGGTGGCTGTGATGTGTTCCGGGTTTTGGTTGTTACAACACAGCCAACGACCCAGGAGATTACAGCACAAGACCCAGGAGGTCAGAACAATAGAACTTAGAAGGTCATCACACAGCCCATTACCCAGGTCATTACAACACAGGAGATTACAGCACAAGACCCAGGATATCACAACAATAGAACTCAGAAGGTCATCACACAGCCCATTACCCAGATCGTTACAACACAGGAGGCTGATAGACATACAGCCAGCACCTCAGCCACACAGCTTCTTACAAAAAGGCCAACCAATCTGCAAACATCAACTCCATCAACCAATCAAGAAATAACAACACAGCCAACCATATATATTCTAAAATATGCTAATGACTATTTAAATGATATTAGGAAAACAGAGAATATGATGACGGGTGAAAATCTGGTATTAATTATGTTTAAAAAGTGTGCATTAGGGTTATATAAATGCTATAGGTTGAAATTGGTCAAAGGGAAGTAAAAGGGGAAATTAACTCTGTTTTTATTTTATTTTTTTTCTTTGTGGTATACATGAAATAGAAAATACAATTGATTATACAAAGGATATGAGAAAATAGAAAATATAATGAACTAGAAGGGATTATGTGGGAATGTAAAATATTTATAATTAATGAATTATATTATAATCAAAAACGGGAATGAAAATTTATTAAAATTATATAGGTAAATTTTGAAAACAAAGAAAAAATATGAAATGATTATATGAATATCTCCTGGAATAGATATAAGATATATTGTAGATGGTGGGATATACCATGTGGATCCTAAATGTATTAATCTTACTTTACTTTTACTCATTTTTTCTTTCATTGACTGTCTAATCATATTTTGGTCTTGAGAAAGTTATAGATGTTAACAATGCATAAGGTAACATAAAATAGGTGGTAAGCTGAAAATGGAAATAATAGGGGATAAAGAATTGAAAATATATGTGAGGATGAAACGATTTTGATATTGAATTAATGAATTGAAATATGAAAGGGAAATTTATCTAAAGATTAGTCGAATGGATAATAATTTGAAGTGATATCAATTAAGAAAGTTGGAAGTGTAACTATGCTTTGTATAAATATTGTGATCTGGAATCATGTTGCTCACGTGAAGAGATGTGTAAAAAATAAAAAATAAAAACTTGGGGTGGGGGGTGGGGGAGAAGGCTTAACACATTATATGGCAGAAGCCAACCTTCTCCAGTATGGTACTTCCCAGTTGTCTTGAGGTCACAATATTGAAAAATTATGCCATCCCCAGATATGGGGGAAGAGTCACAGTTGGAAACCCAGTTCCTAATATTTACTACAACAGCCTAATTTGTCAGCTGCCCTTTGAACCTTGTTTTTCAATCCACGTCTTGTTTCAGATGATGCGTCGAATGTTGTCAGGAAAAAACCTGTGGGTGAAATACGAACCCGCCAATTCTTTCTTCGGAGAAATCAAGGAGTGGCTTATTTTTGGAAAACCCATCGAGCAGCTCTGCAGGCACATCCCTGTTTATACAGTTGAAAGGGTTGAAAGTGAGTATGGCTTCCTTTTTAACTGAACAATTCCATGAACTTGAAGGTACGGTAAAAAGGCAAATTAAGTTCAAGGCACCTGGTATCCTACTTTGAAAATAAAACCGTCCGTGACTGCCAGGATCAATTTTAAGAACCACTAGAGCACAACACTTAGTATTTTAAAGCCACTGTAAGACTTTAATGGTGTTCTCACTGTTCTGGGAGCAAGACCTTTTGAATTCAATGCTGTTTATATTCATGCAAAATTGTCCTCTACTCATCTCTGCCTTATTCTTAAGGAAGCATTTTGTTTTAGTTTGGAGAGAGACCATTCAGCTCAGCAAAATTATATCAATGAATCTAGCAAGTTATATAACTCTAGACAGTAGTGGACACACTGGATGGTCCTGCAAAAAGACAAAAGGGCATTTTCTAAAGAGCAGAGTTGTTTCCACTTCCCATAGTTGCTGAACTACAGTTCATATACCTGTATCAAATATAAATGCATAGAAAGAGGCAACATCCATCTCTCTCTCTCTCTCTCTCTCTCTCTCTCTCTCTCTCTCTTTCTTTCTCTCTCTCTCTCCCCGTCTCTCCCCATATCGATTTTCTTCCCTATTGATTTCTCTTTCTTGTTTCCCATCTAGATGCAGTACATTCCAGTAGTTGCATGAAGGCTGGCATCTTAAATATTTTTAATATTTCCATTTGTAAAAATATCAACATCTCGTAGCCTTGGAGTCCCTGAAGATGCCCTGCAACAGTTTCAAGCCGACAGACAAGGTTTATTCCACCTCTGAAGATATACTTAGTTGTTCAAGCGTCTTAAGTCTTTTGTGCTTTCCTTAAATTTGGTCTTACAACCCAACCTATAAACTTCTAATAAAGAGAAATTTTCGAGCATCCTTGGTTACTTATATATATATATATATATATTTAAAAATCCTTCCTTTGGATATAAAAGAAAACAACATATTAATCGGTATCTAATGTACATGAAGCCTTGATCACAAACTACTGACTAAACCTTGTAACAAAGTTCTCACAATGTGCTAAGGCACAAATAATGGTTTACAAACGACAAACCATAACAGATAGGTTTACATCGCACCACACTAAGCCACAAATAAGGAAAATGTATGATTGGTTAAGACTAAAACATATGAAGAATGGTTGCTGGGGTTGGGTGCGTCTAATTAATGAAAGGAAGGACTAAGGGTAGCATGGTAGCAGTATTCTGATATCTCAAGGGCTGCCCCAAAGAAGAGGGAGTCAAGCTATTCTCCAAAGCACCTGAAGGCAGGACAAGAAGCCACGGGTGGAAACTCCTCAAGGAGAGAAGCTGGAACTCAAGAGAAACTTCCTGACTAGTGAGAAGAATTAACCGAGGGCTTCAAAATTGGTGGCTGCTCCATCACTGGAGGCTTTTAAGAAGAGACTGGACAGCCACTTGTCTGGGGACAGGGTCTCTTGCTTGAGCAAGGGGTTGGACTAGAAGACCTCCAAGGTTCCCTTCCAATTCTGTCCTTCTGTTGTTATTACTATTGAGAGAAAAATAAAATTATTAGCCTAGAATCCTGTTGATCCATATTTACATTTGCCTGGATATGGACTTTGATTGAAGATATTTTGTACCTGATTATTATGTTTCATTTATCTCCCCTCCCTTTAGCCTAATAATGAACACACTTTGGATTTAGGGAGCGTCTCTCATGATAGGAACCAACAAGGACCAGTTCTAATCTTGGCCAATAGCTCAGGTCAGATCCAATGTACTGTAGTTTGACTGGAGAGATGAAGACGGAAGTTTTTCCACTTCCTTCTTGGCCAAGTTCGAAGTGTTTGTAAAACACTGCTTTATTTTAAAAGAGAGAGAGAGAGAAACTGTCATACTATTCGGAGCAAAAAAAAAAAAAAAAGATTTGTAAGTACTTTGCAAATGTTCAACATGGCTAGAGATATTTTTTTCTTTCTTTCATCTGGAACAATCATAAAGTGCTGTTATCCCTATACAGAGCTTTCTTTCTTTCTTTCTTTCTTTCTTTCTTTCTTTCTTTC